CCCCCCCCCCCCAAGTGTGTCTCTTTTTCCGCATTTAGATGGCAGTGGTTTGTGCCACAAAATAGGCATAGTTGTGTCCCATCAAAGTCATTCAGCAAACTAGCATTTCTGTCACAGCATTGCAGTACACCCGCACCCAAACTCCCGAAGCTACCTACCCACTGCGTGCCGCTATTTTCCGAGCCTTCTGCGTGTGGGTACCTCCAGTGGGAATCTCGGAAGTGGCACCGGTGCCGGCTGTCTACCTGAAGGGAAAAAAAAAGAAAGGAAAAAACATGAAAAAAAAAGAAAGGGAAAAACATGAAAAAAAAAGAAAGGAAAAAACATGCCAGAGATCAATGATGTCATGGAAGGAGGTCACGGAGGCCATACTCAGGGCATACTCACACAAGCACGTACTTCTGCAAATTTTACGTATGGGAATTTGCGTTTATATGGCACCTGCGGGTCACACTGCTCACCCGTTTGTTGGCCAAAGCAGAAAGGACAGGGTCGCGACCTGGCCTTGAGATGCGAAAATAGGTTGTGTGCAGTCAGACATCACAATGCACATTAATTTTTTTTTTTCCGCTTCCAGAGAGCAGTAGAGGAAAAAGAAATACGAAATATGTAAGCCCGCGGCAGTCCAGGCCACTGACATTTACATGCCCTTTTGTGTGAACACGCAAAATACGTGCCTCTTGTGACCCAAAAACGACATAAAATTTGCGATTTTTCAAAAATACGGGGTAGTGTGAGTGTGCCCTCAAATGATCACTTTCCAGAATGCATCTGACCACTGTTACGGGGAGAGGATTTTTTTTTTTTTTTTTTTTTCGCTGATTTTTCTTTTTTTCTCGTTTTGTTTTTTTCCTCCTTCCCTGCCAGCAAGGCAGCGCATATTCCTCTTGCTCAGAACGCCCTGGCTGCGGGCATACTCACACTAGCATCCAACCACTTTTAGGCCCAGAGCTTTGTTGGCTTTTTTTTTTTTTTGTCCTTCTTTTTTTGTGAGTCCGACAGACTTGCTCCCCGTGTTCGAAATGCCCTCACTGAGGGCATACTCACACGGGGACCAAAAGTCTCAAAAATTTGAAGCATTTGGTTCGTTTTTTCTTAGGCATTTGGTCCCCGCGTGGTCAGACGGGTGGACCTCGTCCAGAAAGGACGAAGTCACGACCCTGACACTATGCACTCAGGGCAAGTTTGCCCGGTCACACGGGGGAGGACCAAACAACAAGATGGATTTTTTTTTATAGTTTTTTTTTCACGCCAGTATAACGCGTGGGCCTTCGCTACAACGTAAATGTTCCTGGTCGCACTTTCAGTTGTTTGGTGGGCTGCCTTCTTAATGTACGATTCTCTTCAATTCGCGAACATAGGTAATTTGAGACCACCTCCGGAGGTGGTCTCAAAAAGGGCCCGCCCGCAGCCCCGCAGGCCGCTGACAGAAGGGTCACTGTTTGAGGCATTTGGGTAGCAAGCCTCTCCAGTGTGACCCGAAAAATGACTCGAATTTTGGGATTTGGGGTCTTTTGGTCCTCGTGTGAGTATGCCCTGAGGGCAGTACTCCGAAAAGTGTATCCAACTGCAATCACGGCCAAAGCTTGTTTTGTTTTTTGGGCCTTTTTTGCTTTTTGTTCTTCTTTTGTGAGTCTGACAGTCGTGCTCTCCGTGTTCCTCGTTCTGCCGAAGTGCCCTCACTTAGGGCAGTACTCCAAAAAGTGTGTCCAACTGCAATCACGGCCAAAGCTTGTTTTGTTTTTTGGGACGTACGGATTTGACAAGGGCCCAAAATTTTGAAAACCTTCTGACGCTCCGACCCTGCCCCGAGCCAGCCTTTAACTTCTTGTGGCGACAAGTTGTTTTGCTGCAAGGCTGAGGCCACGTAATGGTGGCTTAAGCCACCACTTCGCGGCCCCAGCCCTGTGGAGAAATCTTCCATCACCTCCAAAAATTTCGGAGGCTCGGGGCTACCGGACCACATTGCCGGGCAGTGCCAACCAAAAAAGGAAAAAACTGCACCAACATTTTCCTTTTTGCCTTTTTCAAAGCGAGCAAACAAAATGTTGGTGTTCCTAGAGATAGACCACTGGATCCCCCGATTGGCATTTAGCAGAGTCTGCTGATGTTCATAGGGGAGGGGAGCTGAGGGGAGGCACAGGGATTGGTCCTGTTGGCATGGTTCCTGATGCTACCGGCTGTCCCCTAGCTGGTATCGCCCACCTGCAGGTCGGGAGCAGCCCCCGCATGTTCTCTCGTGAACACGGTTCTGGCTGCTACGGGGTTCCCCGTATGCCTACAATTAGGAGTAGTGGTAGGTAGGTAGTGTGAGGTGAAATTGAGAGAAGAATATATAGCTTTCAAAAAACAAATAGGATCATAAGAAGGGAAAAAAAAGGAGCAGAGAAATGGAGTTGGCTTTTTCCCTTCCTTCGTTTCTCGGAAAGTTTTACTAAAAAAAAAAAGAAAGAAGAAAAAAAGAAAAGAAAAAAAGAAAAGAAAAAAAGAAAAGAAAAAAAGAAAAGAAAAAAAGAAAGAAAGATATTACTAGCTTCCACATCCCTTGCACATCTCTTTGTCCTTTCTTGGATATGACAATGGATTGTTTACGGGTTTTCAATTCAAAGTGATCGAAAGATTTGTTTACTGTAAGTCAGAGGACCGGTAGTACATGTTAAATTTGGCAGGTTTGGGAAAACAACTTGAGAGGAGGAGAGGTGTCCTTCAGGAAATCCGTTACAATTGGAACGATACGGAGAAAGAAGATTAGCATGGCCCCTGTGCAAAGATGACACACATAAATCGACAAATGGTAGGAAAAAACAAACAACAAAAAAAACAAAAAAAGAGAGAAGAGGTAGAGGGAAGGGGAGCTGACAGTCAGTCCTCCAGACATCTGGAGAATCAGTGCTGCTCAGGGGTCCTTTGGCCATACGGACGGAAGCATGAGGCCCGTGAGGGTGTTGTTGTTGTAATTCTAGCTTGCCGGTGGAAAACAAGGCCGAAACGTAAAATGCTGGGCCCGCCGTTGAAATAAATTCGATCGGCGGTTGCGTTTTCCAGAATGGAGGTGTCAGGAGCGCTGACCAGGTGCCCATGTACTGGTGCTTTTAAAAAAAAACAAGTGGATCCCGCAGGCGAAACTCTCCACCCAAAAAAGAAAAGCAAAAAAAAAGAAGAAAAAACTGAAAAAAAAGAGAACTAATCTCAGTAATCCGACGCCGGAACATGGAAATATACAGGAACACCTTTTGTCTTTTGTGTATATATATAGTGAGTAGTGCAGTGAGGAACCATACAGCAGAGTCTGCTGATGTTCGTAGAGGGGGGGGACCACCACCTGAGGGGAGGCACAGGGATTGGTCCTGTTGGCATGGTCCCTGATGCCACCGGCTGTCCCCTAGCCGGTATCGCCCACCTGCAGGTCAGGAGCAGCCCCCG